GCCACGACCCCTCAGACCAGCATTGTTAGTTGAACCCCATCAGAGACAAAGGAGCCCCTGGGACTTCCAAGTCCCTATGGTCCTTTCTCTCCAGGGCCGGGACCCCCACCTTCCCCTCCTCTGAAGGCTTTTGGAGTTAGCCCTCCTCTGAGCTCCCTGTATATGCTGCTCCCTCTGCCAGGAACTCCCCTCCCTGCCGAGAAATCCTCCCTACCGGGAACCCTGGGTGCTCCGTGGGCTAGACCCTGGGCTGCTGACCATAAGGTCAGCAGTTCGAACCCGCCAGCTGCTCTGTGGGAGAAAGATGAGGTTTTCTGTCAAGAGTTACAGTCTCGAGAAACCCTCATGGGAAGTCCTACCCTCATGTGTCAGAACCCACTGGATGGCAGTGAGTTATTTGTTTGTTGGGGGGGAGGGCTTTTCTTTCAGGACCCAGCATGGTCACTTGTAAGCACAACTCCCCCTGGCCAAGCATCCTATATGCCCTGTCCTGTGCCAAGAACCTTCAATCCCACCTTGATCCTCACCTCCCCCAGTGCCACCTCCCCACCCCATGGGACCTGACCCCCATGGTCATCTGATTCCACAGGTGGCCACACTGTGGCTGAGATTAAGATAGCTGCCTCAAGGCCACACAGCAAGCCCTGGCCTGCCAGCCTAACAGGCTGAAGGTTCCCCTCGGGCGGTGCCGAAGAAGAAATGCCTGTCTGTTGTCATAAAGAACGCACAGGAAACAACCCCAAGGGGGCAGTTCCATTCTGCCACACGGGGGCAGCGGTCGCCATGAATCATGGAAGGCAATGGGTTAGAACAAGGCTCTCCGGGAACAGCTAGCGCTAAGCAAGTGCTGATTGGGGGAAGGGGGGAGAGGGGGGAGGGGAAATGGGTTTCTCTCTTTCCTGCCTGAGCGTGACTCGCCCCCCACCCCCACCCCCAGTGCTCACTGGGGAGCAGAGGCCATGTCACAACGCCTGTGCCTGCTATGGGAAATCAAAGCAGCAGGGGAAACTGAGGCCCGGCGAGGGGCGTGTCCGGCCCCAAGTCCCACAGCCAGCCCAGCCGGTGGCAGGCCCCGCCTGGTCCCTCACTGGGCCTCCTCCCTGGGGCTGGCACATCAGACTCTCACGCCCCAGAGCGCAGCGTGCTCCGGCTCCCCCCACTCCACCCTGCCTCCGCCTGAGACAAGCCAGCAGCTGGTGCTCCCATGGAAACCGCAGCCCCCCCACCCCAGGCCCTCCACGGCCTCCCCCCACCTGCACAGTCCCCCTGCACAACCTCCGCTTTAAGACAAATATTGTCATTAACATGCAAATGCATATGCGATTATCATAAACTGAGGTGCGAAGGGGGGTGGGGAGGGGGCGCGAGGCGTGGCCATGCGGGATCACCAGAGTGGACATTAACATGCGCCCCGGGAGGGAGAGAGGGCGGTGGGGCCAGACCTGGCACCAGGACCTCCCCAAGCCCAGCCCCCGACTGAACAAGAGTCCAAGGGGTCTGCCTTGCCAGGGGCTAGTCACAGGATGGGAACCCCAAGCCCAGCCCCCAACCACTGGCTGAGCCTGGGGGCTACGGAGCTCCCCTGGGGAGGGCAACAGTCGGGCCCCCCAGCTTCATCTTTCTCAATCTGCTGTGAGGGGAAGGGGCCTGGGCTCTCCTCTGACTTCCCCTCCCCCATGTCTCTGTCCCTCCTGCGTCTCTTTACCTCTGTCCCTGTGAGACCATCTCCATCTTGTCCTGTCCCTGATTCTGTTTCTCCTAAAATCAAAGCCGGCAGGTGAAGGGCCTGTCCCAAACCACAAAGCCCCTCATCCCTGCCTTCTCCATGGTCCCCTTTCTCTCTGGGGCTCAGCACCTGACAATTACACAGACTTTTAGGAGCCAGGGCGCCCTCAACCACCCTTAGCAGAGGCCCCTTCACACCATCTCTGGGGCTCTCCCTACAACCTCTCATCACATAGGCAGGCCTGTGGCCAGGGTGGGAGGCAGAGGGTCATGTGAGAGTCTTGAGAC